GGGGGGGTTCTGAGCCTTAGAGTAAGGGGAAAAAGGAGTACTTGCTAAAATAATCTAATTCTGTCGTGCTAATTCATGAATAATTTTACAATAGTTGGTTAGAAATGTTACAAAAAAATGAAAACAAGCCCAGTGTCTTCAAATCATATGCTGTTGCTAGGAATTCAGAAGTAGATGCCTTGCTCAAAGTGGTTATGTGGACAAAGGAAAACAACTTATTTTTTTCATGCCTATTATGATCTTCTGTCACTTAAGATAAATGCATCTTGCTCTAGAAAAACAGAATGCTTAGCTGTCTCCTTTTGTTTACAGATGAATGATCACATTGCTAATTCTTACTAATATTTCAGTTAGTAAAATGTAATAAACACAGAATCTAAAAGTATAAAACGTTAACTTGAATTAACAACAGAATCACATTTTGTCATTTTCTTTTCATGAAACCCCTCAAATCAGGACTTTATTGCCAGGAATAGAAGGATATTATTCCTACATTCCCAAAGTAGCAACATAAAAATATGCTGTACTGAAGCTAGAGGCTTATACAAGGGGTGCATTGAAAATGCATGCTGGGTTACCAGGCTGACTCCCAAAGATCTTGAATGCTAGGGAATGTTAAACTCCCTCACATTTTTCAGAGAGAGTTTGTCACTCTGTCCTACATTCTTCAGAATTCAGCTCTGCAGCATGCTGGGAATATGGACCCTCACACAGGCTCCTATACAAATATCACCAGCTTTGTTGCATCCACTGCTCTTTGAAGGTACAAGAAGAAATGGAATTATTTTCTTCCTTGTATAGAAACCAAGATTGCTCTCCAGCTGAGATCTACTTTAAGAATCCAAATGTTTTGAAGAAAAGTCAATGGAAGCATGACAAAACATACAGATTGGTAAACCACTTTAAGTAGGTTGAAACAGGCAGAAAACCTGTCTTCTGTATTTCCTTCCACTTTGACTACTGACCCTTATTGACTTTTCAGAAAAAGCTACAAGATGTCTCTGTAAAGTTCCGCTTGTTCCAGAAGCCAGCCAATTTTGAACAGCGTTTACAAGAATGTAAAAGAATTTTGGATGAAGTGAAACTGCAGTTGCCCAAGTTAGAGATGAGGAGTGTTGAGCAGGAGGTTGTGCAGTCACAGTTGGATCACTGTATGGTATGTATGTTTGGATACAGGTTTTTTAGGGCACTGGCAAATGTACAGCTCCCCACTCTAACTCATGGCACTTCACAGAAAACACCATGATTTAGAGTGACACCCCTCCCCCCCACCCCCTAACCCAACAGCTGTTCACTGTTTGGTCATGGGAGGGTGGGGAGAGGGAGGAATCAAGTTCCACTTTGGAGCCAATCCAGCAGAGAGAGGCTGCCTGCCTGCAGCCTCTCTCCTCTAGCCCTGTCCCACCTGCTCCCAGCTCTGATGCAAACCCCAGCCCAAAGCTCCCTCCCTTGTCCGTTCCTGCAGAAAGCACCAGGGGTAGGGCTAGGTTGGGCTGCATCACCCCAGCCCTGAACTCACACAGGGACTAACAGAATTTAATGAAGGTGCTCCACTTTGGAGCACGTTCATTTGAACCATCATTAAACAAGGGTTAATTTGTTGCATGATCAGGCATTTTAAAAGCACTCCACAGGTATGCCCTCTTGTCAGGGCACAGCTATAGAGTACTTACAGTGAGCAAAGCATATGACAAATATAACTTCTATCAGGACAATTAGGGACACACTGGAAAAACTCATCCTCTATCCTCAACTCCTGCTATGCTCTTTGTGCTTCCAGTTTGGGAGGCAGACCATGTGAAGTTGTACAGCATGCTTAAGCACTAGAATTAAATCTACTGCACAGATGTAGCCTTTACACCACTGGATGTTTTAAAAGGCAATTTCACATAGACCCATACAACTCTGGCTATAGACCCACTGTGGTCTAGAGCATAGAGCATATAGTGGCTCTAGACAATGCCTGGCCAAGCAGCCACAATAGTGGCAGTGGCAGTTTTGGAGCTGGAGCTGGAGCAAGGCCAGAGATGCCACCACCACCACCACTGATGGTTGGCTAGCTGGGCAGGGCCTGGCGCCACCATGTGCTCTGTATCTCAGGCCAGAGTGTGGTCTGAGCCAGCACCAGAACTGAGGGTAAGCAGCGGTGGGAGTGGTTGGGAGCATGTTGGGTAGTGGACAGGCATGGGAGGCAGAGGCTGTGGTGGACAAGTGATGGCAGCAGAGCAGTGGCTCCAACTCTGACCCCAAACCTAGATGGGGGCCAGAGCCATAGAAGCTGTCTGCCCCACCCTCACCTCTGCTCTGCCCCACCGCCTTGTACTCAAGTGAAAGACAGGGGATGGTTTTCCCCGTGTTGAATGGGAAAAATACCTTTCCTTGGATTGTAGTATATATGGTGCTTTCTTTTAAGTGCATTAAGTGTATGGGTGTAAGTACCCACAAAAATTGCCAGAGCATAAAATGAAGCTAAAAGATCTCACCAATAAACTTTCTCAACAACCTTGTTATTTCAGTTCTGCACATTTGTAAGTGTTTATGGCCATACTATTTCTCAGTGGAGTCTTTTGTTCCTATATCAGTGTAGTAAGTTTATAATGTACAATAGAATGAAATTTTAAATTAAATAGAGAAATAAATTAAACTTATGTAATGTTGGAGCCAAATAGTTTCTGTGGGTGCAAAACATTAAATCAGTATTGTTTTCTAATTGCTATTCTTCAAAAAGGTGGAAGCAGAACTGTGTTTACAGATGGGTCATTATTAATTTAAATGTTTGTTTTGTCCAGACTTGTTGCCCAATCAGTCATTTGAAATGATAAGCCAAGATAGATTAATATATTTAACACACCCTTACTTCCAAGAACCACAAATCAATATGTATTTCAGGTTTTTTAAAAGTAATATTTAATATAGCTCAATTCAAATCTCTAGTTTATCAGTCTTATAATTTTGTGTACTGAAAATTGTCAGATTTCTATGTAAATTGGGTTTAACTGCACTTCATTGTCAGTTAGATCATAGATGACAGATGATATAAGTGGGCAAAATGCATCTGCTATTATTCTAAAAATGGTGATGTCTAAATCAGATCAAAGCAGACCTTTGTCATATAGTATTAGAAATACTGACAGCCATTGGCTTCTTCACTATACCATCATTTCTGTTATTTTCACTAAAGGAGTTTTGAAAGCAGTGTTATCAATGGCAGGACATTTAGATAAAGTTATGTAGACCAAACTTATTCCTCTGACCTCTGCTTTATAGGTAAAGACCTAAGTCTCATAACTATTTACATATTGATTCACATAATTAGGACCCAGCTATCTGAGAGATGATGGCTTCTGTGGGATTGGAGCATGCTCAGAGAATGGGACTTTTTACAGCACACAATATCTAGTGTTCTAGTAACTCTGCATAATAATTTAAATCTTAAAATCTGGGCAGGAGAGAGTAGAAGGTTTGGTGGTGGTGCTTTTCTTTTAATTGTGATTTTTCTCTCTCCCTGCTTGAATTGATTAGAAATTGTATAAAAGCCTGAGTGAGGTGAAGTCTGAAGTGGAAACCGTGATAAAAACTGGCCGACAGATTGTTCAAAAACAACAGACAGAAAACCCAAAAGACCTGGATGAAAGACTTACTGCTTTGAAATTGCAGTATAATGAACTGGGTGCACGGGTACGTACTCTAATTTATCATGCAAAGCTAGATTCTCTAACTTATATAGCCAAGAACACTTTATTGTCTAGTAACAATTATTGTGTGTTTGCTTGTTTTAAGTCTCTGAAATTAATCCTGCCTGTGTTTTATAAAAGTATAATACTTGTTAGAAAGTCTATGCCAATCAAATTGATGGGTGTTTGGCATTCAAATAAATGTTTCAAAACCCAGGAAAAAAAGTAAAATTGAGTTTTATTAAGTTACTATGGTAATTCTTTGCTAATATTTTTTTTTTTTTTTTACTTATTTTTCTATTCTAGTATTTTCTTTCTAGGCTGACTATCAGTCACTGGTTTAAAATGCTTTAAGTAGGGGAGTATCCATAAATCAGATCCATGGGGTTTTATCAGTTTTTCCAATGTATGGATTACATTAGAAGGAAGAAAATTCCCCTACATGATTTTTCCTAGCTTCTGACTGCAAAGGTTTCAAAATGTGTCAAGCAGCAGGCCACTGTGAGAGGATTTGGTGACCAAAGGTGCTTGTTGCTGTGGCTTGGAAAATATCTGGTATTAGTATGGTGTTTAGTTAGATCAACTTAACTATATCAACCTATAAACAAGAAGACTGGATTATTACTGTTCGAATAGAGTTACCTGTTCTTTTTCGTTATTTTGTTATTTTATATAATGTTGTGAGGAAACTTTGATTCTCAAAAATTTAACAATCTATGGTTATTTTAAAATGTCTCTGATAAACTACCATATCTACTCAACTTCCAAGCTGACTTTGAATTGAAGATGAACTCCCAATAATTGGGTCCTATCCATGGTTACCTTCTGTGGCTGCTCTGGTTCTGGCTTCAGGGAAGTCAGTGTGGCCCCAGCCTGAGCCTGGCCCAAACCAGCTGGGCAGAAGCAGAAGCAGCAGGTCTGGGCCCAACTAGGGTGGGGTTGAAGCTGTAGGTAAGCGGCAGGAGAGAGATGGCAGGGGTGGAGCATGTGGTGTGTGTCCCCCCATGCTTCCCCCCAAACTGCAAATAGTGGGTCTCCCCTCATGCACCCCACTCCAACTTCACAATCTGCCCTGAATTCTCCCTGCCGTGCACCCCTCCCCCTCCACACAAGCCAACCCAGCTTAGGGTAAGTAGCAGCTCAGCTCTGGTTTTGACCTTGGGCCCAGAGCCAGGACTATAGCAGCTGCCTGCCATGGTTTGGTACTTGAATTTAAGATGAGTCCCCACTTCCCCTCTTCACATGTTGACTGAGGAAAGAACTGCATCTTGATTTTGAGTAAATACCATATTAACTTCAAGTACACTAGTTGATCCAGCTTTTTAATCTCCATAAAGTTCACACTTATGCCAGTTTATGGCAACCTATACGTTTGTCAGCTTATCTGTTCATACAGCAGATACCACAACCGTTAAATTCAATGAAAATCACTGTAGGCTTACTGACAGCTCAACATATACTTCCATGCATGTCTTGATACACCTTTCAATTAAAGCATTTTCAGGTACAATATACAATATGTTTTCTTAAAATCTGAGAGTTCTTATCTTATTAAAATTTTGCTGCAAGCTTGCTAGCAGGGTTTTGTCTTTTACTATACCACTCTACTGCATATTAGATACAAAAAATGTCACACTATAGATTATTTTAATCTATTTTTATTGCAGCTTGTAAAACTGCCTATGAATTCAATCATTTAATATTAAATATTATTTATTTAACTGAATAATAGTAAAAAAAAAAAACCCTCCCTGTCCCTTTCATAGTTTGTCTTTTTCTGGATTTTTTTTCTAACCAGCAAAACAATCAGGCAAACAGAGAGTATTGATTCATAGGAAAGAAAAAAAAAAAGATGATTAGTATTAATAAAGATCCTGATGGAGCATATAATATCCATTTGGATTTGCCACTTCCAAACTACAAAATGCTGTTGATTCTGACTGTACAATATGCTTTCCTAAGTATAGAAAATAGCATCTGTTGTTGAAGCATAGCCCCCACAAAAAGTCACTTTGGGGCTTCATGGAGGAGTTGCAGTATTGCTCCAGAGGAGAATTCATGCAAATGCTTGCAATTAACAAGTACACAAGATCAATCTGCTTCCTTTCTCCTTGTGCCCTCGCTGGGACTATTCAGCCCATGGGCCTCCTTTAAACTGTAACACAGGAGTAAACTTGGTTCAGTAAGTGGCTAAATAGTTCTAACCACAGTGTATTTTAAAATGTCTGCTCATTGCACAAATGCAATTTTAATAAACAGGATAGCACAAAATTCTTTCAGTATCACGATTTTTTTCAATATAAAAATTATGAAGACAATTTATCAGCTAGTCATCAATAGCTAGCGTGGAGGGTGTTTAGCACGAGTCAACATAATTTAAACACAAGACTGATCAAACCCCATTGTCTATAGTACAATAACCATTAAAAATTGAATTAACAGACTGACATTCTTTTAGGGCCCTATATAAGAGGAATTATTTGTATTTACTGAAAGAACAGCAAGGGATGTAAAATAAACGTACATATTAACCTATCTTTTGAGTGTTGGGACTGGATGAGTGTTGCTCCCAATGTACTTGAAAAAGGACTTTTTGTTGTCCTTAATCCTGGACACTAGCCTGAGTTCCATCTTTACCTTGGCCTTCCTAATAGCCCTCCTACACTCCCAGGCCGATGAGGAGTACTCCTCCTTGGTGATAGCTCCTCCCTTCCACTGGTTGTATGCCCCCCTTTTAGTCCTCAGGCA